TGTTTTCCCTGAAAGTGCTCCCATGATATATTCCTGCCAAGAATTATGTTAGATTTTTCACGGAAGGCTAATAACTAAGAATTGGAGACAAGGCTTGCTCTTTAGAAAACTTGATTACATTAAATAAGCTTGTTGCAGTGTGTGCATCCACAGCACTGAAAGGATCATCCAACAGATATATATCTGCATTCTGATAGAGAGCACGGGCAAGTTGAATTCTCTGCTTTTGACCACCACTCAAATTGACTCCTCTTTCACCTATTTCAGTAAGATCACCATAAGGAAGCAACTCAAGGTCCTTTACCAAGGAGCAGCGCTCAAGTGTGTCTTGGTATAGTTGTCCATCCATTTCAGACCCGAATAAAATGTTCTCTTGTATGGTTCCTGTCTGGATCCAAGCTGTTTGCGACACATAGGCAACCCTCCCATATACTTGAATCTGCAGGTCATAGAAATTGAAAAGAGTTTCTCATTAGCAAAAGGCTAGTTGTTTCACTCATGAAAGAGTGAATCCGATTACCTGAATCAAAGCACATCAGTTCTTAAAGAACACAAAAAGCTAGAAGATCATTGCGACATATACTAAAGAGAAAGTTATCCAAGGATTGAAATGTAAGTTTGGAGGCAAAGTTGGTAAACTTACCGTTCCCTGTGTAAGTGGAACTTCTCCTAGAATTGCTGCCAGAAGGGTTGACTTGCCTGAGCCAACTTCTCCACATACGACCACCTTTTCACCATGCCTCATCTCTAAACTCACATTTCTCAGTGTGGGCTTTGATGGATTCCCTTCCCATGAAAAATCAGCTGACTTGATTAAAACAGAACCTTTCACAGTCCCTTTGTCACACTTTTGCCGAGTATTTCCACTCTGCAACTCTGGTGCCTCGAGAAATGTCACAATACGTGCAAAAGCAACCTTTGCTTGAACGACCACTCCAATAACATCAGAGATTGATCTAATTGGGTCTTGAACAAGACGCAAAGCCGCGATAAAGGTGAAAACATTGTTAGCATGCAGAGGTATTTTCAGGAAATAGCATGCCCCGAAGGTAGCAGCAGAGATCACTACAGGAGAAGACCATAAGAGAAAACTATTATAGGCTTTGCGCAATTGCACTGCTGACAACCATTTATACTCCACCGCTCTCAGATTTTCTATGGCATTCTTAAAATGGGTTTCCCAAGCATATAATTTCAATACCTTCATGTTAACCAGAGCCTCATTGCAAGCCTTCAATCTCTCATCTTGTGCCGCCATAAGCTTAGACTGAAACTTATGTTGTAACTTTGCTATTGGAGTGTTGCACAACACAGTGATTATTATAACTACCAAGGCAGCAAATGTTGCAAGCCCCACTGCACGGTAAAGAATTAAAAGAGAAACGCAGATCTGCAAGCTTGTTGTCCATGTCTGATGAAACCAGAAGGGAAACTCACCTATCCTGTAAGCATCTACAGTAACATAGTTCATTATTTCACCACCCGAGTGCATCAACCTGCCAAGATTGGATAACCTCAGTTGCTTCTTATATATTGCAGCAGTGAGCAAGGACCTTACTCTCAAACCTATAAGCCTGCTCCTGAAATACCATTGCCTTTGTGATAAGGACTCTAAGTTCTTTGACAAGAAGAGCGTCAAGGCCAGTACATAACCTTCATACTTAAAACCTGCTTTCCCTTCAGCAACCAAAATGAAGGCATTGAGAAGTAGAGGCCCAGCTGATAAAGTAAGTATCTTTAGCAAAGCAAAGAACCCAGAAATTAGAATTTCTTTCCAGTGGCACAATATAATTGTCCACAAGAGAGATGGTTGAGATGATTCAGCTTGGTTTTGTTTGTTCAGTTGCTTCAAAAACTCCATATAACAGCTTTCTGCTCGGTCTACCTCTCGCAACTTTGGTATATCCTCATCCTCCAGAGTTTTCTCCCCGCCCTTTCTCATCAACGGATTCAACCACCAAAATGAAATTTTATTAAAGAGTCCGGCTTCAGCAAACGGAGTAACTTGGACAGCAGAATCTGTTTTAATTGCACCATTGGCCTCGCCATTTAATGGTGCATATAGATCCCTTTCATCACTCCCTTCGTGATTATGTACCTTGCAAACACATAACAATAACAATATTGCTCCTGGAAAGGACAGGACATCCAAAGCTATCTCAACCAATATTCCTTTTCCTAAAATGACACTGTATATGGATAAAGCACAGACAATTACAGCAAACAAGGCAAGGATGGACAGTAGCCGCAACCGCATTCTTTGAAGATGCTTCCCCCGAAGGCTTATGTTTAAACCCACTAAAAGCCATGTAAACCCCTGAAACAACACCACAAGCCAACTTTTCAAAGGAAAGGCGGTTTGTTTTTTCCTCAGCTTCTCTTCTAAAATCCATATGCCCGAGCACAAGTACACAAATCCAATACAACCATTGAATATAGCAGAAACTATCTGTAGCCTTGAATAGCCTCGAAGTCGAGGTGGGATTTTATCTATTTTTGGCGATGAAGAAGATTTTAGTATGAAAGTGAATAAGAGCATGATTAGAAGCAAAACATCGAAACCAATAATCAACGCGCGATTGATACATGAAGTTGGTTGAAACACCAGACTAGAACTAGATGGCTTTTCACCAATATTCAAATTGCCGGATCCCCCACAAAACACCATCCACAAGTCCTCCATTAGCTTTGCTTTCCTATTTACTTCTCAGCTTCTTCACTGGCATACAAGGTAAATAAGACTGGTCTGTGTTACAAGATAACTCATCACTTTATCAAATTTCCAGAATCATCCAACAACACATTTAGTAAAATTTGAAATTACAAAAAAAAAAAGCTTTTTGCACACACCCCAGAATGGTGAGTGCCATCAATTACAAAGAACCTAAAAAAGAAAGAAGAAGGTTCAGATATAGAAGACAAAATGAAATTTTCAGAAAGTGATGCGTGTTTTTTTCGAACAAATACATATCAGTTATGAAACTTTGGAAAAACCGTGGTCTGGTATGGTGTGGGATGGAACAATGTACTGCGTCGTCATGGCTCACGTATGGCCTGTCTGTTTGACGTATGTTTTGTCTTTTGTCTTGTTTTCGGCTTTCCAACAAAGACGAGAGACCCTGTGGACCGATCAGTGTTCTTCATTTCTCTTCCTGGTCAGAACTGCTGTTTCTTGCTCCATTCTACTTCCCACATGTAACATCACGACTTGTTTCTAATTCATTAAATATATATCCTTTCTTCTTTGTTTTTCCTAATCTCAGAACAATATTAGAAAAAAATATAAAAAATTTCAGATGTATAAAATAAATATAAAAAATATATCTTTAAAATGATTAAAAAATACTTTGTTTTAATTGGCATGTGACACGTATTAATTAAAAAAAAAACCTTATCATCATATAAAAAATATTAAATTAGTCACAGGTTTATATAAAGATTTTCTTGATTGAATTTTAAAGTATCACATATTCTTGATTAATTCATTCCAGTCATGTCAATAAGGTCTTTTCTTTTCTTCTTTCATGTGCGCGAGTGTGTGTTATTTTATGCAATAAACAACACCATTTTGAAGAGAATCTGACATCATTTGTCAAAATACGATGTTTCTAGACAGAGAACCTATTCAGAAATTCCTACTGGGATCATTATTTTTAATTTAATTTAATTTTTATTTAAAATAAGTTATTTAAAAAAAATCAAAACCAATTTAAACCAGTTGATTTTGATTTAATTTGAATTTTTAGAATAAAAACTAGTTTAAACTAATTTAATTTGACTTTTTAGATTTGGCTAGGTTTAACTCAATTTTATCTCAATTTGACTCGATTTTTTTTGTTTTAATTTAATTTTTTAATTTAATTTTTATTTTGGTTTAGTTCAATTTAATTTTCTCGATTTTAAGCTTATAAAATCAAAACCAAACTAAATCGGTTGATTTTTTAAAAATTTTAATCAATTTATTTAATTATTTTTTTTTAGTTTTCTCAAATTAATCAATTTTTCAATTTTTTTATTTATCTCTACTTCCTCCTCCCACGAGTAATAAAATTGAGAATCAAGCTATAAGTAGTGACAAAAATAAAATCTTTCTAGATTATGGTTGGGTGAATAATATAATGGTTTATTATGGTATAAAAATATTATTTATATTTAAAAATATATTAAAATAATATTTTTAAAAAATTATTTTTAATATTAATATATCAAAATAATCTAAAATTATAAATAAAAAAATAATTTAAAACAATAACATGATTTGTTTTTTTTTACCAAGCCAACCTCTGATTTTCCAACAAGTCTTCTAAGCTATTATTCTAAATACTCATTCGATAGTAAGGTGTGTAATATTTTTTAAAATTATTTTTTAATTAAAAATATATTAAAATAATATATTTTTTATTTTTTTTATTTGATATAAATATATTAAAAAAATTAAAAAATATAAATTTAATATTTTTTCAAGTGAAAACCAATTTAAAAAATAAATGCTAATATAATATCAAATGAGCAATACAAGGGTATACAAAATAAATGCTAATACAATATCAAATGAGCATACAAGGGTATACAAGATAATAATAATAACAACTTTTCTTTTTGTTTGAAAATATATTAAAATAATATTTTTTTTAAATTTATTTTTAATATTAATATATAAAAATAAAATTAAAACATTAAAATAAAATTAAAATAAAACAAATCAAAATTTCTTAGAACTCTGACTACACTGCTGCCTCAAACGTGCTTTTAAGTCATTTGCTTGCCTTAGGAAGCCTCATCGAATACAAAATGGATTAATTTTAAATAAATTAAGCTTTTAATTATTATTCGCATTAAACCAACATTCATGGGAAGGAGGGAGTATAATATAGTGATTAAAATATACTGAAAATGAAGAGAAAGTTTTATAATCACTTTTTTTTTTTTGCAAATAAAAATTGAAGTTCGTTAACTATGAATAGTCTTTTTTATTTATTTATTTTACCGATTTTCAAAAATTAAGAGTAAGTATAAATAAGATGACTGCAGAGGAAACAACTCATAAAACGGGCAAGTCTGCACCCTGTAAATCAGAATAGCCAAGCTCTTGACACCAGACATTCAATTTCCCTGCAGAAACTAACGAGCTTGATGTCTGAATATGTCACGACCCGAATCCCGGGTCCATGACCGGCAACGCAGGAGGAGTGTCGAAAGGACACCCCACCTACGCTAAGCCTCAAAACATACATATCAAAATAATAGATATTCAAAAATACGCAGCATTTCATAATCTTCAGAAATATTATATTACTCAAAGCTGATGAAATCAAAGGATAGTCAAAACTCTTCATCAGTAATTAAAACAAAATAATAATTCATAATACTCATTACATTGTCAAAATCCAAACTTAATTAAAACAGAGTAATAGTGGAGCGTCTAAGACTTCGAATCAAAACAACCTTGAACAATAAGCAAGGCATACCGACCCAAAACTGAAGAAGTAGGAACACTCAACAAAGTCCAACTGCTATCAGAAACTAAGAACCTGAAATAATATTAAGAATGAGGGGTGAGTTCAACCAACTCAGTGAAGGAATAATATTTAATATACATTTTAGATATTTTCATATTAATAATTTGTCAGATGATTTATCTTGATATACATATACATATACATACTGAACATATTATCATAACGTAGT